CCCCAAAACCCCAAAACCCCAAAACCCCAAAACCCCAAAACCCCAAAACCCCTTATGTTCTGAAATATATTGAACCATTAAAATGTCTTAACTTTGTCCTGTAATCTAGCGACATCAAGTGAAATTGTTTTGCTACTTTCTGCTAGTTCTTCATCTTCCCACTGGAAGAAGACCATCCCGCTTGGAACTAAATCTGCTTTCTTCAAAGAGATTGATTTTTCAGTTAAAATCTTCTTTGGAGGGGCCTTAAACAAATAAAACCCTCTACCCTGATCTAGAAGATTCTCAGCTACAAAATCATAAACATCTGAGATCTTCTCTCTCGCTCCAAATCTCCCTTGAAGTACCAAACCATCAGGAAACTTCACCCTCACAATAGTAGTGGAATAAACCTTAACCTTAGTCAACTTCTGATACTCCTGCAATCTCTTATTTCCAAACTTCTGACTCTTGGCATTATCCCCCAAAAGCTTAAGAGCACTTGCCTCCCTCAACTTCTCTTCATAAATCTCATCCTCCTTCTTATTCTCTTCATCATACTCCTGAATAACCTTCTTAAAATCATGAGTGCCAGCCAAAGTATTAAACACCACAAGATCTCTGTCCTCCACCTTCCTTTCCATTAACTTCTGCTTAAGCTTCTTCTCTTGTTCAATCAGTTTGTTAATATATTCTGGATTGTACTGAGATGTTTCTGCTGGTCCTGAAGATAACTTATTTCCTGTAGTTGAGAAAGTTCCTTCCTGGTAAGCGTCAAAATTACTCCTAACTTTGACTCCGAATCTCTCTTGATTCTCTTTCAACTCATTATGAATAGCATTAAAAGCTTTGTTGAGAACATCTCCTTGATATCCCTTGATAGTGAGAGAATCTCCTTGGTCTTCAAAACCACAGACACTTAAAAAGTTGCAGATATTTTGGTAACAAGATATTTTCTCTTGAATAGCCACCTTAGTGGTATTGAGGCTTCTGTATTTCTCTTCCCAAGGATTCTTGATTAAGTTGTCAATAATTTTGGTCAGTGTTTTTAGTGTTGTAACAATTTTAGTGTTATCATCCCCTGCCTCCTTGTAAAAGCTCTGCAAATATCCCTGTAACAGTCCATTCTCTTCCTCTGGAAGGACATCTAAAACTGATAATTCAATAAAATTACTAATAGATTTTTCTTTTGATTCTTCGGCTTTAGGTTTCAATATATCCTTTTTCTTCGTTGTAGTAACTTTCCTAACTTCTTTCTTATCATGCTTTGTTGAAGTATCAATGCATTCCTCCATATCATCTTCTATACGAAAAGAATTAGAACAATTGCTTAAGACCCATTTAAGAGCGACCTTACCCATTGCTTTATCAGGTTGGCCTTCATTTTCAAGTTCCTCAAGAATAACCTTGACAAGCCTGCTGGGAAATTTCAAAGTATTATTCCAAGTGTCGTCATCAATTTCCTTCAAGGAGTCAAGAGTATCGTACCAGTTATCTTTTAACTTATCAATAAAGCCCTGCATTTGTTCAGGCTTCTTCTTGAGCTTAGCCCCTACTGCATGCATAAAGGTATCTATTTGGTCTTCCATATTAGCAAGATAATTAAATATATTATGTAGGATCAACCAAATCTTATCCAAAGGGGTTTTGGGGTTTTGGGGTTTTGGGGTTTTGGGGTTTTGGGGTTTTGGGGTTTTGGGG